CCCCCCCAAAAATCGCACGGGGCTGGCCGGGAGGTGTTGCTGGTGCGAGGCCGCAGCCCTGTCAGCGCGCCGAGCTTGCTTGTTAGTGGGGTAGGGGCCTGCAGGGGAGAGGGCGGAGAAGGGCGCGTTGTCTGCGCTGTTCTGTCATTTGTAAGGAAACTATCAGTAATTGTTTCAGATGCTTTTCTTTCTCTTAGATGATTACTTAGCGTGACTCAAGAATGTGGCGTCTTTGTTGTTCCTGGAAGGCAAACAAATTTAAGGCACACCTTTGGTCTCTTTCAGAGACCTCTTTTTGCCCACCTTGCGTCATAAAAAGCTGAAAGGATGTAGACCGGTTTCTTCCCTTTGCAGGCGGCTTTTAAGATGGCTTATTCATAAATTGGAAAGGAACGTACAGAGGTGATGCCTTCACAGGATACTGTGTAGTTTCCACAAGTGTGCTGTTTTAGAGACCCTTTTCTTAAACCATGCCCTCTCCTGCTCTCCTCTCATTCGTAGGCTTGTTTGTTTGCTGGTTGTTAAAGGGACAAGTACAGAGTATTTAAAGGGGTTTGGGGTTTTTTTTTGTCTTCAGAAGCATCGCATTAATAATGGTGCAATGAGACATGGTGCATGTGATGTATCTCCCGTCAAACAGTGTGGGATGCTAGTCCCAAAAACTTTGATTGTAGGAGGTGGAAATAAGCAGAACGTTAAAAGCTGATTTATGCAAATCAAGTTACAGGTCAGACATTTGAAATGTCTAATTGAAACAGTGAAAACCTGAAATTTACTAGCACGTAGTTAATACCGTCATTACAGAAGGTACACTTGATGCATTTGTGGAAACCTTGCCGATTCAATATAGGCAAAGGAAAAATAAGAAAAAATGATACCGCCTCAGGGCACCTGATGCATGCTTGACTTGCGTGCATATGCCGGTCAGAATGAGATATGCACGGAGCTGTCAGACTGCAGGTTTTGGTTTTTAAAATGCAGCTGCTAACACTGCTTAGTCTGTCTTCTGTGTCTTATAGATTTACAAAGATTCAAAGAAATGCATCGCTTATTGTAGTGTTCTACTGTCCTTAATATAAAATCTTCGATATCTTTAAATCAGGTCTAGCAGTGATGTAAATCGCTCTTGCTCATGCAATGTTTGTGCTGTATTTTTGCTATGTAGTTTGCTGCATAGCTTTTGGGGAGAAAGACACGTAATATGAGATGACATTGTGAAGTGGTATCTGTTTTCTGTTTTGTAGAGCACTCGGTGGATGCCATTCCAGAGCATAATGAATTCCTTTTTCCAGAATATGAAATTTTGATAGCACCTGAGGAACCAGAATCTCCTGCTGACAGCAGCATAGATCCTGATGATGAACAAGGAGCTGTAGATACTTCAGAGGACCTGGAAGAACAAAAGGAACTTGGAGCTACAGGCAGTGCAGGTACGAAATAAGATGCTGTCTGTAGTTCTTCCTAATGAAGCCGGTATTACATCTTTAAAATGTAAAATACTGTGATTTTTAAGCGTTCATTGTTAACTACTGGTGACAAAAGGCTTAATCTACAGTCATTTGTGATGCAAGTTTTTTGCATATATCCTGCAATATAAGTTGCTTTTAGGGGAGAGACTTACTAAGCCCCAACCCCAGGAGCTGTTGAAGCAGCTGCTGCTGCAGTGAAGCTGCAGGTAGCTGGGAGTTAAGACTGTGTCCCTGTGTGCTTCCCGCAGGTAAGGATCAACTCCAGTGTGAAGAACAGGGCCCTGAGTGTCTGCTGCTGGAGGAGACTGTTGGAATTGGGAGATTGAGTTAGATGGTCTTGGCTTGACTTGGTTCAATTTGTCTTAATTTACGGGAAGTACTTAACAAACCTCCTTGTCTGTGCTAGAAGAAAACTGTTGTGAGGCTATTTTAACTGACCTTGAATTAAGCAGTTGAAGTGCAGGCACTGCCCCTCTCCCCAAAATTCCCTGTGTGTTTGCAGCTCACCACACTGGCTTTGCACCTGCCCAGGGTGGAGAGCGTGTGGTGTTACAGGGGAAGGCTGCTGGGTTCCCAGCTGTCCCTTACTCTGGTCTGAAGCTGTCTTGAGACTGCTCAGTGCCCCACATTGACGTGAACGTGGGAGTGTAACAGATACGCTCTTCAGTGCTAGAAGCCGAAGTCTGGCACGTGCACAGCACGGGTGGTCTT